GGGTGGCCGCCGGCCCCGCTCAGCTCGCAGCCACAGCTCTCCCTCCGCTCCCACCCTGCCGCCGGGTTGCATAGGTGCCCACACAGGCTCTGGTCCGGGGTTTTGCAGTGGGAGCTATAAATACTCCTGCACAAAGTAAAACACACGAGACAAGCGCATGTGCGGCGCAAGGCGAGGTCTCTGCTTTCTTCCCCGTGTCCCATAAGCAGCTCCGAGATAAAGCGACTGAACACAAAGCCACACACCCCCTTATCAGCTAATTGCCTGGATATTTACACCACAACATCGTCCCGGGGCAGCCCCAGAAACCCGACCTCTGTCCCCAAAGGCAGCGCCCGCTCCACCTGCCCCGCACCACAAAACCGGGAGGAACCACCCAAACCTGGGCAAGGGAGAGGCTCTTGGGGACCTTCTTTTACAGCAGCTTCATTTAAAATGGCTCATTTTCCTGCAGTTGGGTTTGCCAAGTGCTGAATTGCATAAACCCATGGCAGAAATTAGGCAGGCGCTATCTTTTGACTATTTAATACCAGCCACCCTGGAATTACATTGCGTTTTTTCTTCCAGGGAGGCAAAAAAAAAAGGCAATTTGACATTGTGCTGCCTAAACACAACAAGAAGAGATTCAGCAGAAAGAGACTGTGGGGGGGGAGGAGTACTGCGTCCCAGGGGGACAGTTCCTAAGAGCTGCACCACCCAAAACCACAAAAAGCTGTTAAATTTATTTTCGAGCAGGGGATTCCAGCGGCCGCTGCTTGGAAGGGATCCTTGCTTCCCCTCGCCTTTGGCTCTCCTCCTGTCCCAAACCCACAGGATCGGAAGGCTGCAGCGCTTTGCTGCGCACATACGTTTAAAAACATCCTAAAATCCTTCGCTTTTCCTTAAAGCGAGCATACGGAGCAGGAAAGATCTCCCAGCAGAAGATTAGGCCCATGCCCCGGCCAGCTGATCTCGCCGTGGTTCTCCCGTGCCGGGGCAGAAGTGACAAGACCCCCTGCCCACCCTCAGCACAAACAAGCAGCACGTCACACTTGCTCAGGAGGCGGCTTTCTGCCGCGCTCCGGGATCATTAAAATAATTTAGGGTGAACAGGAAAAACAAGCTTTTGGTGCCTACAAAGCTCTGCAGTTAATCAGTCTGAGCCTTACTCGGACATCTGACTTAACCCATGCGGATGCTGGGGATTTTTGCCACTGAAGTTCAGGCAGCTATCCCAAAAACCCACCTCCTCACTGCACAGTCCTGCCTGGAAGGGCATGGAAGTCACAAATACCAACTTTAAGTCGAAGTCTGGCTTTGAGGTGAATTTTCCAGATCGGCCCTACCCCAGCCTCCTCCGTCTGGCATGCTGCAGATGCGAGGGAGACTAGTCGCGTTTTCGCTGCAGACCAGACCTGATCCTGCCCAACTCAGCGAGGACCGGCCGCGGCAGAGCCTGAGGAATGGTATCGAGGAGCCTCAGCAGACACGGGAAGCCCGAGGCACAACCAGAACCCAAACACCAACCTTCCCAACGCGCTCGATTACTAAAGAGAAGGAAACACAAAAAGAAACAAACAGCCAAACGCTTCGGTTTCACCACCCCACCAGCGGTTAACTGGGAGATTTCTTCCTCTCCTCTTCAGACGCCTTCGACCTGAAACTGCCTTTGCAAAAAGCAATTAGTCTCGAGTCGTTCCGGCTGCCCGGCTCACACCAGCTCTCCTCCCAACAGCTCCTGTGGTCACCATCACACCAAACCTGCGTTTCTTTCCCTCTCCTCCTTCGGGAAGGGGCTCAGCCGCCCCACAGCTCATCGCAGGCACATGGTGCGCGGAGGGCTCGGACTCCATCCGTCGGGATGGCAGTCCTGGCCCCAGACCTCTGCCTGCCACCAGTTCCTCTCCCAGGAGCCCGGCTGCTGCTTTTTTGTGGGACCAAATACCTGGCCACACGGTCGGCAAATCTTCCCGATTCCCAGGCTGGCAGACGGACGAGACGCTGCCTGTGGTGACCCTGGCGCGGCCACTCCAACACTCGTCATCCCAAGGCATCACACCCGCGGGACAGGTAACCTCAGCTGATGAACTTGCTACAGGACAGGACAGATTAATGAGAGAAGTGGGGATATAAACGGTTCCTACTCTGCAGAGGACGAAGCGATCAAAGGGAGCTGAGAAGAAATAAGATTAATCCATAATTGTCCTCTTTGGAGGTGTTTTGGGGGGGTTTTTTGACCTTCCCTCTGTAACACTTCATATCTGGGCCAGCGATGGTGAGGAAACAGCAGGTCTGAGCCAGTACAGCGAACATTCGTAAGGCAGAAAAAAATTCTAAACCCAGCACTAATTACAGCAAACCCACTAGTCCCAGCCCAGCAAAATACACTCCATTTCACCGGCAGAAGGCGAGCGTGCACAGCCATCCCCGGACACCCCACGGC